GAGAGAGAGAGCATTGTTTATTCAAAATAAAAGCCTTCGCAGCACCAGTGCTGAATTGCGGTTTCTGTACCCAAAGTAACAAACTCGTCCTTCAAATATCATCAGGACTTACACAGAAGATGGCCTGATGCCTTTCCTGCCCTGTCTCATGGTCATTACAGTAGCTGTGGTGTTTGTCTTGGATTCAGTGATGGCCTGAGACCTACTCTGCCCTATCTGATCATGATCACTGGTCATTACAGTAGCTGTGATGTTTGTGCTGGCTTCACTGTTGTTCTGTCTCTGACCTGACTGACTCGCCAATTCTGTAGATACTAAAAGATCCTTTGGTGTTGTTCCCAGACCTTCATACATAGGATTTTGCTTTAAGGCAGCTAGCACTTGGCCATGAGATAGATTTTCAACCTTCAGACATTGAATGTTAGCCTGACACTGACCCTGGCCTGTCTGAATATGATCACTGTTCAGTACAGAAGCTGCTGCGTTTGTGTTGCTACTAGCATTATGATTCAGCCCTAAAGGAACATGCCTGGACTTCATCTTGTACCACACCACAAGAATAGTGGTGCCCACCAGAACGATCCCACATACTGAGCCAATAACAGGTAATAAGGGGAATCTGGGAACAGATTTTGGTTTGTCTGAAGTTACTGCAAGGGGTGCAGTTAGTGTTGACATTGTTTCACCTGTACTACCTGCAGGATGTGTTGTTTTTGCTGTTGAGTCGGCAGTGTGATAACGAGAGAAGACGGTGGCATTGTAACTGTAATTGGCACTTTCTAAAGAGTTAATAAAAAGAGCCTGTGAGGTAGATACTAAGCCTACAGGATGTGCTAATGGTCTGGCATTGCTTTCTGTGTTGCCAACTGAAGATGTTGACATCTCTGATTGGCTAACAGGGGGCTGTGTGGCGGATGTCACAGGGCCTGCTATTGGTCTGGCATTGCTTTTCTGTGTTGCCAACATCTTCAACTGAAGATGTTGACCTTTCTGATTGGCTAACAAGGGGTTGTGTGACAGATGTCACAGGGCCTGCTGTTGGTCTGGCATTGCTTTCTGTGTTGCCAACTGAAGATGTTGACGTTTCTGATTGGCTAGCAAGGGGTTGTGTGACAGATGTCACAGGGCCTGCTGTTGGTCTGGCATTGCTTTCTGTATTGCCAACTGAAGATGTTGACCTTTCTGATTGGCTAACAAGGGGTTGTGTGACAGATGTCACAGGGCCTGCTGTTGGTCTGATATTGCTTTCTAATTCTGTGTTGCCAACTGAAGATGTTAACACTGCAGATGATGAAGTTTGAATATAAACAGTTACCGGTGACATGGTTGTCTCTTCACAAGTCAGTAACTCAGGATTGACAGCAGTAAGCTTCTTTCCCTTCAATTTGGCGGGTTGGGCACATATTATCTGGTCTTTTACTGAAGGAAACTTACTGATATTCAGCCTGAAAGGAGTCATCCTACAGTCACACCGCCAGGGATTATTGCCAAGTTTAATGTAAGGAATGGATGTCAACCAGCCAAAAGCTGAGGGGGGAACGGCAGACATTTTGTTTCCCTGAAGGCACAAAATTTTGAGCATGGGCAGACTTTTAAATGCATTAGAAGGGATGTCAGATATATTGTTGTAATCCAGCCACAACAATTCAAGCTTGGGTAGATTCGCAAATGTATCTCCCTTAATCACTGTTATCTTGTTGTTGGACCAAGGTCCTTGATTGTTGAGATACAAATATTTCAGTTGGGGTAGATTTGAAATGGTACCAGCATGAATCGTTGTTATCTGGTTGAAGGACAGGTCCAAATGTTGTAGTTTGTTTAGAATTTGAAATGTACCAGGCTGAATCATCGCTATCTGGTTAAATGTAAGCCACAACATTTTCAAATCTCTATACCTTAGCATAAGGGACCGATTTACAGTTGTAATAAGATTCTGATTTAAATCCAAGCTAGCGATGGATGTTTTGAAGTTTTGAGGAATGCTGGTAAGGCCCATTTTGACGCACTTGCATCGTGATACTGACTCACACCTACAGTCAGCTTCTGGCATGTTGGGTTCCTTCAGGATGATGAGAAGGAAAATCAGCAGGTGTCTCAGCTTTCTTCCCATGGTGTTCTGTCACCTAGAAAGATCAGGAACCGTCTTTGTAAGGCCAAGCCATCTTAATGTGGTGAATCTCGAAGTAAAAGATAATATAACTCCTTACCTGTAGCCCCTCCCTCCCACACTCTAAAAATGTCCGTATCTTCTATATATTGTGTTCAACTTCATTTCACTCTCTGGAAGATTGAATTAATCACATTAACGTAATGGGTTCTATCGGTGCGCCAGCCTTTTGACAGTTGTTTTAATATTATGTTCACTGTACGTTTGTATTTGTTACCCAAATCTTATTATTATGTTCTATATGTTTTATGAGCAAATAAAGCATCCTTATAAGCACGATATGTGCTTTCTGCCCAATGCTCTCAAAATAAAAGATAATATTTAATTCAAGATAAATCAACATCAAAAGAGGTTTCCGAAAGGAAATGTTTTGGTCCAAAAAGGAGAGAAAATGTTGAATTCATAATTTTGTTTTCATATATTTCGGGGTAACTCCAAAGGTCCTATTTGAATTTTCAAATCAGTATATTGAAGGTTATTTCTCTCGGTTTGCTGTTGGGCATGTAAAATACGTGCTTCGAATACAGTAGTTGCTATTTTATTGTACCAACCAGTCCTAAGTTCTTGTAAGTTTAGTAATATGGACCTGTTGATTGTCTGAGACTTTCTGCTTGAATATTAATTTTGTTCTCTGTTTATGACCCCCCTTCTATTTATTATATTTTTACTTTATTTTGTCTAAAAAAATTTTGGAGCATTGGACAGACAGCACATAATGTGCTTATAACTATAATGATCCTTTACGTAATTACTCATAAAACATAAGAAACACTAGAAAGGCCGACATTTGTTTAGGAGCAAACGTAGCATGGCTTCACTACATTCCCCATACCAAACATCCCCCTCCCACACAAATGGATTGTTCTTTAAGTCACCCCTGTTCAAAATGTGAAATGTTCCAACACTCTATACCCCCATGCAGCAATGGAATATTCCAATGCCTTTTACTGTTGGAACATGTAGATTGACAGGATCCATGCCACCCTATATCTGCTTGGAGGCCAAGCCACTTTGCACATTTTCTACATACATTTTGGGGCATTGGACAGAAAGCACATAATGTGCTTATAACTTTAAAGATCCTTTACTCATAAAACATAAGGAACATAATCACGCAGTTAGGGTAACGAATACAAAACGTAAGCAAATACAGTGGACATAAAATGAAAATGCATTGCGCATGCGCACCAACAGAACCTATAACGTTAATGAGATTTATCAAATCTTCCAGAGAGTGACTTGCTAGCTGTGTGACAGATGTCACTTGTACAGGGCCTACTGTTGGTGTGGCAATTGAACACAATATCGAAGATACGGTGATTTCTATCCCGCAGATAAGTAAATTAGCTGAAGAATAAAAATAAAATTCTAACGTTTTATATTTCAACTGCACAAAAAAATCTAAGGTTCCACACCTTCACGGTCCGTGGAGTATATAATTCATATTGTTTACGAATGCTGACAGTTTTAAACGTCACATTAACGGTTATACCTTTAACGCTACAAGACTTAAAGCATAGCTGATATCACAATAAAGATACAAAATACAGGCTTACCGCCACCCCTTATACCCCCTTTCCTTAAAGTAGTGTGGTACAGTCCATTAGGCCCACACGGTTTAACTCCTCGAAAGAACACCAGGTAATGACCACACCACATACAGCAGGGGGTGTCAATTTTATCTAAATACGTTGTTAGGCCCTGAAATCACCATGTTTCTATGGGACCTCAATGGCTATCCACATGATCATGAGCTATAGGTGCAAATGCAAACAGACGCAGCCAAAAGAAAACAAAGAATTCTATCGGGACCTGCTTGACAGCTTGTCCCGATCTAAAAGATACTAGACCTGGTGGATTGACGCATACACTTTCACAACAGTCCCCATCCTAGTTCACAACTCGATTACAAATAAAAACAGCACATTAAACCTCGCATATATGTTAATTTCAGATTAATTGCCTGCCTATGGGCGTAGGCCCGTGACTCTTAATATTTAGCTGTGATAAACTGTCTATGCAACCAATTCTACAATTAATGATTATCCACAGGCAGAAGCGTACCTTTCAGGTGAGTTAGAACTGCAGTTGTCACTTTCTCGGACACAGGTTGCGCTGTTGTTCACGTAGGGTGTGTCTCCTTCGGTAGCTGATCCGTACTGCCGTGTGACAAACTCAAACCACCCAAGATTAGTGTTGCGTATATGGTTATGTTGATTGTCTGAAGCTGGCTACATGAATAACGTTAACATTTACGATCATGATACGTTACGTCATACCACGTACTAAGATTTGTTTTATTTATTTATTTGTTTTATTTAAACAGGGTAGAAACCACTGCTTTTCAGGAATGCCCTGTAACAACAAGTGAAACATGAAAACAATGAAATCGACACATTGACAATACGTTACGTTACAAAATAACCAAGCGTCAAAACAAAATCGTTTACCGTAAATCAATGTCGTTCAACCAGGTCAAGGTCAGAGGTCAGCAGTGTTGCTTCAGAAGCTTCTTCAAAGTACAAATTAGGATGAGATTTCTACATGTAAGATTTTCATTGCGTCAGACATTTCTCATTAAACAATACTAATCATTGTTGTGTCTAGAATATACATATTAAAATAAAAATCATATTCTGAAATAATATTCTGAGGTTTGTTAGATATACAGAAAATTAGACCTAGTGGTTGCTGCAGTTTTTTGGCGACGTTTCTGGGGCAGAGCCTTTTAGTATCATGATGTTATACGTCCTGTCCTGTCCTGTCCTGTCCTGGAATTTGGTCAGAGTACGCGTATTATACGCCACACTTCATAGAAGTCACGTGACAAGTCTCAGTGGGTCAGTCTGGTCATATTAAAGAAGACCGGAGTGACCAGTCAAAGGCTTTAGGCAATAACAACCTCTTGTGTTGCATCAAAATTTAAATATGTAACTACTAACGCATATTAACTTTCAAAAGTTTTCTTAAATATGTAATTACCAACAAAACTGAACTTTCATGACATTTTTTTATTATTATTGTTGTTGTGTATACTGAATAACATTCTTGATTGTGTGTCCATATTAATACTCACTTGACTACACTGTTGAAATATAGGCTGGCTTAAACAATTTTAATTGCTTAAAAGCCTGTAATACTTTGAATGATCTTTAAAGCACAACAATTGTACAGTCATGGAACAAAGTATGGCAAGTTCGGGCGATTTTCTACAAGAAACTAGAGTTCTATCTTAAAGCAAAAAATAAGGTGCAACCAATAGCTTGGTCCAACAAATAATCTTTAACAATTCTAAATGGTATAATTATATTGGACATATGACTGGGTACTTTCATCTTGCAGTTAGTTACATACATTACTAACAATTGCACATAATGTTATCATACATCATTACATGTATACATGTGTAACATCCTTGTCGATAATATTACCAGGGTCCATAATATCGCCACCTTTGAAACTGTGTGCTTTGAGATATTTTTACTGCAACATACTTTTGGTATGCACTCCTGCACACCTCAAATGTACATACCTAGGGTCTGTTGCAGTAAAAATATCTTTAAGCACACTTTTTCTCAAGGTGGCGATATTATGGACCCTGGTGATATTATGTACACGGATGTTAACAGTAGATACAAAGAAAACCTGCAGGCCTTTCCCACTCTCCTGTGGGGGCATTCAGTTACAAAAAAACTATATGCTTACAGCTATCAGTTCCAAGGCAAAAACTTTGTCATAATGTAATTGTACATACAACCGTTAATAACAATGCAGATACAGTGTGTACAACTGTTACAGTATAACTTCTAATGTAAGTCCAGATCTCTACTCCATGGTCTGTTCTTGCTTCACCCCATCCTCTGGGCCATTTCCATTTTTCCATGGGGGTGTTCAAGTCTATGCTTACAGAAGTCAGTGTGAAGGCAAAAAAACTATGTCATAATTCAGTTATTTTATACTATTAATTGCACATTGTGCAAATACATGTACAATATTGTTACACTAAATTTATGTATACAGTTACATATGACTTACAGTTCTGATCTCTATTACATGGCTTGTTCTTGCTTTACTCTGAGCCTTCCATGGGGGTGTTCAAGTCTATGCTTACAGAAGTCGGGCCAAGGCAAAAACTATGTCATATTTTGCAGTAGCAATGAAGCGAGTTAACTTGTTGACAAGAATATCAAATTTTGTGCCACGGAAAACGCTTGAAATCTTGTACAAAGCCATGATACGTCCTTTACTTGAGTACGCCAATGTTGCCTGGTGTGGTGTTCTTATGAAGGATTCAGACCTCCTTGAGTCAGTCCAGGTGTCCGCTGCCCGGGCTTGCACAGGCGCAATGAGAGGGACGAATCACCACCGCATTCTATGTGACGTCGGTTGGGAAACACTTGCCAACAGACGCGAAAAGTTCAAACTTGTCCACTTTTATAAAATGGCCAATGGCTTAGTTCCCAAATATCTACAAGACTTGGTTCCCCCACTTATCCGTGATTCCACCCCTTATGGCCTGCGTACTGACCAGAATTATCTCCCTTTTACCCTCAAAACTGAAAAGTACAAAAAATCTTTCTTGCCTTCTGCTGTTTTCTCTTGGAACAAGTTACCCCAGACCGCCAAAGAATCCCCATCCATTCGTGCATTCAAAAATGAATTAGAGTCTTGCTTTGATAGCATGCCCAGACATCCTCACTACTCTCACGGCCACGGACACCATGTGACTCACCTTACCAGACTCAGGCTTGGTTTCAGCCAGCTGAACTACCATCTATTCCAGCATCACTGTATCAGTAGTCCCGAGTGCAAATGTGGGCATCCAAATGAGACACCAGAACACTATTTATTACAATGCAAATGTTATAATACTGAAAGGACCTTCCGACCCACTCAACGTAAACGACGCCACATTATGTACTTTACTTCTTACAGGTAGCCCCTCCCTTCCATACCCTACCAACTGCCATATCTTTGATATTGTGTTTAACTATATCCACCACTCTGGAAGATTTGACCAATCTCAATAATGTCATGCTAGGTATTGGTGCGCCAGCCACTTTCATTTTATGTTAATGCTATACTTTGTCATTTATGTTTACATTTGTATTATGTTTTATGAGCAGCGGATTTACATAAGCACAACAAGTGCTTCCTATCCAATGCTCAAAAATCCACGTGAATAAAATAAAATATTTTGCAGTATAATTGCACATGCGCAAAAAAAAAATACATGTACAAATGTTACAGTATAACTCCTAATGGTCTGTCCTCTGGGCCATTCCCATTTTTGCATGGGGGTATGTCATAATTCAATATAATGCATGTACAAATGTTACTTACAATATATTTTCTAATGTAAGTCCAGTCTCTACTCCATGGCTTGTTCTTGCTTTAACCCGTCCTCTGGGCCATTTCCACTCTCTTCCATGGGGGTGTTCTGGTCCGCACTAACAGACGATGGTTCTGAAGATGAGGCCATGTCCCCACACGGTGCGGCGAGGCCCTGCGGTGACCGGTCTCCGTCCGGGCTCTGCGCTTCCACCAGCTCCGTGTCGTGTTTGATCTTCATGTGGTTGCGCAGCCCGGCCACGGTGGCGTAGCGATAGTGGCAGATCTTACAGGTCATGGGGGACCCGCCCATGTGGCGCATCACGTGCATCTTCAGGTTCTTCTTGTGGGTGAACTTGCGGCCGCAGATGTCGCACTTGTGGGGCTTCTCGGCCAGGTGCAGCAGCATGTGGTCCTTCAGGACGTCCATCCGCGCAAACGACTTACCGCAAACCTGGCGGCAGAAATAAAGGACAAAATTGAGGCATAATCACTGAAAAGTCTACTTTTCATGTTTACCTTTATAGAAGAAAGACATAATTGTTTTTGCTTTGTATTTTGTTCTTCTTCTCCATGATCCAAACACATAAAAAGGTCAATGACCTGGACCAGATGACTGTCACCATGGTAACTGGTGATGTAGCAGACACCCTGTGGTGTTGGGTTACATTATGTAGCAGGACAGAGCTGGAGCAGATGGTCACTACATACTAGAATTTGAATGTGTTTGAGTAAGAATAAACAGAGCAGTAGTTGTTGGGCTAGATTATGTGAAGGTAGACCAATCAGGAAGCTCAGTTTCAAATGTTCTTAACTGATCAGAAAGCTTGAGTTCAAATGTTCCTAACCAATCAGGACATTTAACTCCAAATTTCTCAACCAATCAGGAAGCTTCATGTACAATATTCCTAACCAATTGGAAAACTTGATTGCAAATTTTCTCAGCCAATCAGGTAGCCTGATTTCAAACATTCTTAACCTATCAGAGAGCTTGATTCAAAATGTTCTTAACCAATCAGGAAGCTTGATTTGAAAGGTATCTGACCTGGCAGACATGGCGTCTCCACATGGAGTGGTTGTGCATGTGGCGCTGTAGACTAGACTTCCAGGTGAAAGTGCTGTCACACACCGGGCAGGCGTAGTACACCTTCCCAAGGTCATCTGTACGCTTGGCCGTGCCTGGAACCTGGACAAGGAGGACATGGTTATGAAGCATCACCAGAGATCTTCCGAACTTCAAACGTAAAGTCAATGCCTACCTCAGCGACACTCGTCAGCGACCTGTATAGCAAACATTATTCAGCACAGCTGCTAAGCTGAGGACTTGGTGACAGCATAGAAAAAAAAAGCAAGTTTAAACTGCAATTTCCAACACAACAAATTGGACTGACCCAAATTTTCGACTGTACAACTCCAGTACTAGTCTTTGTCAAGGAATGAGCAATCCAGCGCTTCCGTGACGCCACGCAGATAACACATGTGACTCTTTGAGCAGTGGATCATAGGTTGCAGAAAGTCTGTGGCGCCCCCCGTCTCGATCTGTTGAGGGATGGTTGTAATGCCCTGATGTAGATGGCCTCTTTAATCCCTCATGCAAAGAAGTCTGGTTCTGTGTCCAAGATTCTTACTTTGTCCAGTGAGACTGAATGTCCAGGCGATTCTATGTGTGTATGTTGTGATGGCATCTGTTTTACACACACGTGTGTTATCCCGGTGATGTCACAGAAGCTGTGGATTGCTCATTCCGTTTTTGTCCAATTTGTTGTGTTGAAAATTGCACTTTAAACTTGCTTCATAATGATTTCTACCAACATAGATGAACGTTCAAGATAATGAGGAGATGGTGTTATGTGATTGGCCTATTTCTAACCAATCAGCAAGCTCAATTTGAAATCTTCCCAACCAGTGTGTGGCGGCAGGTACAGCAAAAAAAAGTCGACAAATGATAATACGTTCTTGGTACAAAAGTGACCACGAAAACTGAAAAATATAAAAGTACCACAAAACATATCGTGCTTTACAGTAATCAAATCAACGTGGCTTTAGTAGATGAATATGAAGCACTTACCTGGAGGGTAGGGCTGTACTGGTCATGTGTAGGTGCAGCTGACAGTGTGGCACTGCCATCTCTCTGTAGCACATTCCCATCTGTGGACCACGAAGTTACACCTGGAGCAACAGAAACAAATTCCATGAAATAAAGACTAAGCTTTAAGTTTAACTTTCAAGACTAGCTAACACAGAATTGGGACTTACCCCAAAATTTCGGTTGACTCCATCAACCTTGTTCACGGAATCGACCCGTCTACTCTTGGAATTTGTACCAACACAGATTAACTTTCGTGCTAAATTCTTCCTCGTTTAGGCCACACCGATTTAATTTTATGGATGACATCTGTATGCACATTGATTTTTGCCTGTTCTCAAAAAAAGTGTATAAATTAATAAAAATTTACCTGCTCTAAAGGCTCAAGCATGGGTGCCATCCTCCGTAGTCCATGGTAGCTAGTGACAATAGGAAGCTGGCGGTAACTAAGGAGGACGGCACCCCGGCTGCCAAAGCTCATAAATGCCACAAAATAGCCAGCATGAGCCAGCTTGTCATAAAAGTCATAAAATGTACTACCGCAAATTCACAACACCATGACAGTTTTACATTCCTGTGGTTTAGCAGCATTTTGGAGGGGGGGGGGGGCTTATATGCAATTAACAAGTACAGTCAAACAGGTCTAAGACAACCACGTATGGGGCATAGGAAAGGTGGTCTTCTTAGACAGAGAACAAGAAAACATAATTCACAGCGTAAAAACTGTCATGCTGCCAAAATCAGTTACAAACAGGTCAATTCCATCAAGATTTCTTGCTACATGTAGTTAGGCCACACCGACTTGGTTTCATGGATGACATCCTCTAAAGACCTCCATACTAGTGGGCGCGGGCGAATAATATCAGGCCTCGAAATTAACTTTTTTCACTATTGTCCCAGAATTGTCCCGAACATAGATTTCAATTGTCCCGAACTGAAGATGGACTGTCCCAGCCTGCTTTTCAGAAAATAAGTTGATGACAAAAATAAGAAAACAACAACTGAATTTGTACAACATGAAGTCCACTTTATTAGTAAATGTAGGGAAATACATGATAATATCATGGGCATGGCACCGTCCCTGATATTTGGAATCCCTGACTGGTCAAATTTAAATGTTTGTCAGAGTATTATATATTTATAGGCTGCCAGCAGTCTGCCGCAGGATGGATGGATCGCGTTCCCAAATGACGTGGATGGTCTTAGAATTTTCCAATTGCCCCAAAATTGTCCCGAAACGTAATTTGAATTGTCCCAAGCTGAAAATTTAGTGTCATTTGACACTGGGACAATGTTAATTTCGAGCCCTGAATATTTTTTTTTTAAATCCGGCCAAAAATAAAAATGCTGCTAAACCAGAGGAATACAAAGCTGGTATTATGAATTTGCAGCAGTGCATAGCGACATGTACGACATGCCGGCACATGCCATTTTTTGCGGATTTATGAGTCGGCACTGTACGTATGTACTGAGTTCTTGATCCGCGGAACTTTGGCAGCCTGGGTGCCATCCTCAAGGGTTACCACCGGCTCTGCATTGTCACTATCATGGTCCTTTTTTTTTTCATGGACTACAAAGGCCTAGAGCCAAGCCAGAGCCTCGAGGGACGTGATCTTTTTTTTTTTTGAGAACAGATTAAAATCAATGCACGCACGGATGTCATCCATAAAATTAAGATGGCGTGGCCTTATCTTTAAAAAAAAATGTCCAGAACACATTGGAACCATCGGTCTTTCCTCATCTAAGAGAAGTAGCTACTTACCAGGCTGCAACTGCAGTCCATCCCCTGTGGTGTCTACTGCCCTCTCTCTGACAGCAGTAAATCTGCTCTGCGCCTGCATGGGTGCCGACCTCGCCTCGACCCCAGCAGTTGAAGAGGTGCTGCTGTCCTCGGACGGGTCCATCTGATCCTGCTCCACTTTCAGGACTGGCATGTCCCACTGTAGAGAGTGGACAGGGGTTCTTTTTTAAAATCTAAATCAATATTTCTATGGTATAACAAGTTTCTTCTTTCTACACCAGTCAGGGTTTTTGCATCTGATGTTTTGGTGACTGTCTGTCAACAATGACTGGTTCTGATGCTGTCATGTGCTTGTCTGTGTTAGTACAAAAATGTAGTTGCATTGTTTAAATTAAAGGCATCTAATTACATAATATGCAGTTTTAAGGCTTGGAAACCAGATTGTTCAATTTAGTAATGTACACACTACACATTGAAACAAAATTATCCCAATGTATGGGATTCATGGAGGATTCATGGAGGATAAAAATGTCCAAAATTCTGACAGAAAACTGGTTAATGGAAGGACCTTGGGCTGAATTTTAGGGTATAACCTAGTAGAAAATAAACAAGTCATCTTGGGGCCTGTTTCTGCAGTTTTAAAAGTATGAAATACCCAAACTGTGAAATACTAATTCATGTTTCAACAACCCTTGTTGTACTGATACATATATCACTTGAATTGGTCACAGCCTGTTTTCCTCAAAAATACTGGTTGAAAGACAGTGTAGGGAACTAAATCACTACATTCAAACAGCCTGGTGAGAACACTGGTAAGACTTTCCTATTTTTACCTGGCCATGGGGGTTGGGGTCCTTTCTGTGTGGGGATCCTGTGGAGTGAGGGTTGGCGCTGGGCGACTCGACTCGACTACTGCCGACAGAACGACCGGACTGGAAGGACGTGCTTGACCCGAAGTAGTCTATCCCATCCTCCTGACTGTCCGCGATCGGCGCCGCTTGTCTCGCCCGATCATGGAACCCTCCCTCCGTGCTGGAACACGCTGTGGCGGTCAGGGTCTCCGACGAGTTGACGGCCATGGCCATGGACGCCATGCTGCGCTTGAGGTACTGCGAGCAGACGTCCACCACGTTTTCCAGGTTCAACATGGTGGCCGCGACCAGGATGTCGCCCGTGTTTCCCGCGTTCAGCGTGAGCTTGTGCGTGTACATGAAGTCCAGGATTTTCGAGAAGGTTTCGATTTTCAGGGTGGGGAGGTGGAGCTCGTTGGGGACCTCACCGCCGCTCGTGAAGACGGAACGGAAGTACGAGCTGCTGGCGGCCAGGACGGCGCGGTGGCACGGGAACTGCATCCCCATGACAACCACGGTCAGGTCGCAGAGCTGGCCCCGTTGACGCATGTCGTTCAGGTGTTTGACGAAGCTGGCGGCCATGTTGGGAAACTTGAAGGTGGTTTCCTTTGTCGCCGCCATCTTGGAACAGTTTTTTTTTCTCACCACTGGTCTGGAAAATTGAGCAACAGTCCTATAGGAAGCCGGAAGAAAGGAGAGAATAAAGTCAATGGGCTGCATGTGAAAAAATGAAGGTAGCATGAGTGGGTTGGAAGAGAATAAACGTTACATCAACATCATGAGGTTTTGTCCCTAAATTCCAATCCAGATTTGTTCAAACCCTCCCCTAAGATCCTATATACCACAGCAGATCTTTATAATCTGAAACAATCTATGTTCCCCTTCTTTATGCATCTATGCTGTACAGATAAATTTATATTTCTAATGAGCTTAGACAAACCTTCTGTATAATTTGAAACATATCTGTTCTTACCTTTTTACCATTACTAAGAAACTTAATACTTGATTGTAGCTAGTTGACGATGTATAAATGCAACGTTATCTATATTCCATCCTTTTGTTGTGACCTGTATTTAACCCAGTGGGTATGTGTGTACCATCAAATCGAAAAGACCAGGGGGTAGTGATGCATACCTAAACCCAATTTCAGGTTCAGGTCCGGATTCAAGTCCAGAGGTTTAGGTTCAGTTCCGGACTTGTAAGTCCGGACCTAAACCATGGCATATACAAAATTGCATATTGGCAACCTTGCAATGTTGTCTGGGTGAAACTTTGGCCACATAATTAATATAACATGGAGGCCGACACTTGATGATGCCCGATGGCAATGTTTTCTTCATTTTGCAGCAAAGATTTTGCAATCTGCGGAAGGTTTCAGGTGGTTTGGAAAGAAAAGGGGTATGTGAAATGGTCTTTTATGGTAATAAGTCCGGACTCGGTTCTTGACTTTTAGGTTTTTTTGGACTTGAACCTAAACATTCTTACAAGTCCGGATCCAAGTCCAGTGAACCGGTATGCATCACTACCAGGGGGCGTGTGGGTGGATCAATGGCCTGAGTGAGTCCGGACCCGTATCAACATAATTTGACTTGACAAAAAATAAAAGAAAAATGTACCTTTCAGACAACCTTCCCTTCTATCCAGGAAAGAGCAGGCCAGGAAAGGGATTCTGACGACAAACAAAGCTTCTAAAGATTTCCGAGGAGACGCGTTGTGTGTCAAAGAGAAATTTCGGGGAAAGAAAACATTTTCTAAACACTTCCCTCCGCCATGTTTGGAATATCCCAACTCAACTGCTCAAATAGGTAGATGCAAATATTAACTTATTAAAGATATGTATTCACTAAAAGTTGGGTACAATTGTATAAACATTGAAAATATACGAATAGAGCTTTTTCGTAGGTATTTATTTTTTCTAAGTACATTTCAGAAAAGTGTGAAATTATTATTACTTTTTATATGTTTACCCCCATTTGAACACATGCACTATCCTGAGGTCAAAGTGCAGTTTCTGGCGGGAATGCTGTCAGGTGTTTGAAGTTGTCTGTCGAGTGTTGTATTAAATTTTGGCAGTTGTCTTGAATTCACATGTCACAATGCTACAGTGTGGCGAACTGGTTTTTGTCTAAACTTCGACTCATGTCTCCAGGAGGACGATTTTCGTAAGTAGATTTTCAATAACATATGTTCTCTCACATAACCAGGCACTATTTTCGCTTGTTGCTGCAGTTAATCCGCCCCCCCCCCTCTTTTTTTAAATGAACTCATCATGGGAACTTCTCAATCAAAACAAGGAGCTTTGAACAGATTGTTATATCATATGCATGAAGGTACAAGGAATTACATGTACAAAATGTACCCCCATGGTATTAGCCTGAAATGCAGTCTCATTAGTATTACAACATGTACATTGGTTAGGTAGCCTTTGAGGCAGACCATTATTGGAGTTACAACACAGACTGACTCTACAAGGTTGGATTGTAGACTACTTAATACTCATCAAAGGAAATTTTGGAGCACTTAAACTAACTTGCTGTGTAGAATTATCTTAACGTTACATATCTTGGTCTATTCTGATACTAATACAGTTTAAAAAGTGATATACATTGTTAGCTTTAATATGTATGTAGTGTTCATTCAGTCGAAAAAAAATTGTTTTGAGAAAGGCCTTGTTTTCATTTTTACAAACAACATGTAGGCTGCTGTGATAAAATGGCTGGAGACCTGGAAGGTATCACACCAACGTTTGGACATAGGGAGCAGTCCCTACTGAGCAGGCTGCACTAGATGCGTAATGACGGGGAACTCTGTGATGTGACCATCATTGTCCAGAGCCAAGAGTTTAGATGCCACAAGTAAGGATTCTATTACATTCCTAATTGTTTAAAAAAAATCTTATTGTATTGCTTTTATTGAAGGACATAGTAATTACAACCAGGCCTTAGAATACCCAACTACATGTACATGTACATATGTAGCCAATGGCCTATCACAAGGGCTAGGTTCGGTGAATTCGAATGACAATAAACTTTGCATATGCATGTAAAGAGGAGGATATTATAGACTGTTGACCTACCTATACTCTTTTAGCAACAGTTCTGTGATGATGCTTGTTAAAGTGATATAGAATTGAACTGTGTATCTAACTCAATTTATCTACTTGTATCCTGCTAAGTCTTTTAGCTGTCAGTACTTGACTGAAGTATGTCTAAAATACATTAAATACATTAAATAATTTTGACAGGTTCACCGTTCACTTGTTCTCCCCCAGTAGATAAGAATGATGATAAAATCATGATTTCCTAAGTTGCATACTTGTAGTTGAAAAGTACAAAGTTATCCCATATAATACCACCCCTTGGCATAACACTCAAGCTTTGTAGGCATGCGGCACAGCAGCAGTTGGCTATATTGCACAGAGTGACTTGTTACACCTAGCCTTTGCACATCCAAGGATAGCTTCCTTGGCACATTTAGGTCTTAAAGCATTGTTTAAACTACTGTGATGATGCCCCTACTGTACTTGATGGCAATGTGTTTCACTCTACGATTTTTCAGGGTGAAAATGAGATTTCGAACACCCCAATCTTTGGATGATAACTTACTGGTAAAGATCATTTAATAGTATTTGTTTCTGTTTTGTTTTGTTGTACTTTTTATTCATTCTTTTTTTTTCATTTTAGGCCACACCAAGTAAATTTTATGGATGACGTCCGCGCGCGCATTAATTTTGGCCTGTTCCTAGAAAAAAAAACAAGAAATTCCGCTTCCTGTAACTATGACCAAAGAGTCACGACAGTGCTGCAAATCGTTAGATTGACGTGAAACCCGTAACGCGAAATGGGTAAAGAGCAAAAATGTGATGAAAGAAACAGGACAGGACAACAACTGCTGTTCCACCTGATTTATTGCTATTTTGATGATGAATGAAAGATTTCTTGCTTGTTACACTGTGTCACCTCATTCAATTTGTGTCCTAACATTTGACGTCTCTTAGTATATTTCTAATCTAGGAATCTTGTTTTTTAGGGCCCTTCTTGTTTTTTTCCGCCCTCTCGCATTAGATTTAGGGTCTCTAAAGGACGTCATCCATAAAAATTACTTGGTGTGGCCTTACTATTAGAGTGGTACTGGCAGCATTCAGCAGGTCCTTTCAGTCTTTGTTCACTGCGATCAGTGGAAAGCCCAGACTTAGTGGTAATCTAAATGTAAGACTGGATAACAAAAATCTCACGGCTTCAGCGTTTGCCCACCTCCTGGATTACCTGTACACCTGCCGTATCCAGCTGACCAAGGAAAATGCGACAGAAGTCCAGCATGCTGCCAGGTTCTTGAACATCAAAGGAGTCACAGAGGCTTGTACAGAGATACTCCAGAACTCAGGAACAATGGCAGGACGTCATACTACCAAGACTGAGAAAACTAATGCACTCGGACCTGGATCAAAGAATTCCACAAAGACAGCTGTTAGCACCAACAGTAAGAATGCTGACAAGTTCTTGAACGTCGCTGAGGCCTGTACAGAGTTACTGCAGAACTCAGAAACAATGACAGGACGTCATACTACAGAGACTGGGGAAACTGATGCACTTGCATCTGGATCTGAAAATTCCACAAAGACACCTGTTAGCACCAGCAGTGATGATATGGTCCACAAGAAAGAGACTTTGCAAGGCAGCGCAACCTGTGAAGTAACAGACAAAGAAAGTGACATGTTTGAAGCAGCAGCAGACAGTAGTCAACATGCTTCTCAAAGCATTACCAAGGTTGACACGGAGAGTGAGAAACTTTCCACTTGTGAGAAAGTATCTTGTACACCTATCAGCAATACTTTTGTGTCAGCGTCTACAATGCAAGGTTCTTCTTTGCATGATAGCAATGCTTCAGGTTGTGGCAATGTCGAGACAACAGTTGAAGCTGAACTGCCGATCTTGAGTCAGTGGCTGCAGACCAGTGATGTGGACAAGAAAACAGTGATAAATAAAGAGGCCTATCCATCCGAGGGCATCCCAAAGGAAGTAATTGAAAAGGACTTGAATCAACTGCTTCTGGAAAAGCTTGAGACAGAACTGGGAGGGATTCCAACCATTGAAGATCTGGATGAGGATCCTATCGTGTGGGACCCAATGGGTTGGATCCAGGATGATCCAGATTGCCTGGAAGGTGAAAGGTCAGAGGTTAGGTCAAAGGCCAGCTCTGGTGCCCACTGTGATGATGATGAAGGATTCAGGAGGAAAAGAAAATTGTCAGGAGAGATGTTTCCTTGGACGAAGAGATCAAAGATGGACGTACAAACTGCATCTGCCCACACGTTAAGTGATGACAGTTCAGAGGGCTGTGCAAAGAAGAAGGATCCAGTTTTATACAGCATGCTTAAAGACACGTTTGATGTCACAGAACTCGAAACACCAAAAATGAAGATGCCAGCTTCAGAATGCAGTACACTGCCAGCTGCAGGAAGAGACCAATCAAAGAATGGTGACTGTGATAATGTAGTCCAAACCAAACCCCAACTTGAAAGTAAAACCAGCACAAACAAGGCTCTAGAGACCAAAATTGATTCCTCTCCAGCAAATCTTCATCCATTTTCCATGTCAGAAAACAGCCTAGCAGAGAGTAGAAAGCCTCGTTATCCTCTTGCTAGAAAGGACCCGGAAAGATACAAAATTCCAAGCAACCCTAACAGTAGGGATCAACAAAAGACGTTCTTTGGAGACTTTACTGCCATCCGGGACACAAGTCAACATGGTGATGTTCCTCTAAACATCCCAACAAACACGAAACTGAGGGGAGTCTGTGAGAAGAATGGTACTGGTGCTGTGCCTTACTCACAGAATGCGCAGCTTAGAACAGTCCATAACCCCGCCATTGTGGATAGACCGAGAAGCGTTTTGTCTTCCTTTGGCAAAAGGGTTGTCGCTCGAGACCTTTTCTCAACCAAGCCGAGTGTGCCACAATTACAGAATCTGCAGTTCAAAACAGTCCACCACCCCAGCATTTTCACAGGCTCTGGAGAAAGAGTCGTCAGTCAAGATTCTCACAACCCAACCGTGCCTCACTCACAGAATCTGCAGTATAAAACAGTCCACAATCCTGGTATTGTGGATAAACTGAGAAGTGTTTCGCCATCCTTTGGAGACAATGTCGTCGCTCAAGACCTTTGCGTAAGCAAACCAACTGTGTCTCACTCACAGAACATGCAGTTCAAAACAGTCCACAACCCTGAGATTGTGGACAAACCAAGAAGTGTTTTCTTACCCTTTGGAGAAAGGGTTGTCGCTCGAGACCTTTTCTCAACCATGCCGAGTGTGCCTCAATCACAGAATCTGCAGTTCAAAACAGCCCATGATCCCAGCATAGTGGATCAACCAGGAAGCATTTTCACGGGCTATCAAGGAAGAGTCATCACTCAAGATATTCAGATAAGCAACCCAACCATGCCTCGCTTACAGAATCTGCAGTATAAAACAGTCCACAACCCTGGTAACGTGAATAAACTGAGAAGCGTTTCACCATCCTTTGGAGAAAGAGTTATCACACAAGACGTTTGTGTAAGCAAGCCAACTGTGCCTCACTCACAGAACATGCAGTTCAAAACAATCCACAATCCTGGTAACGTGGATAAACCAAGAAGTGTTTTACTGTCATTTGGAGAAAGGGTCGTCGCTCGAGACCTTTTCTCAACCAAGCCAACTGTGCCTCAATCACAGAATCTGCAATTCAAAACAGCCTGTACAATGTTGCACAAGTCATGTAGGTGTAGCTCAACGTTAAACTTCCCAAAATGAATGGGAGGGTGCAAAATCCACCTTCTTAGAAACAATAGCAACCATGCCATGTTTAACACTTACTAGCTGATTGATAATGCAGCACCCTTTGTACCAGTTTAGGTAAGTGGAGGATGTTCACAGGAATCACGCAGTGCACTGCATTTTTGTACAGAAAGTTGCTATATAGAAATTTGATTGATGTGCATAGGCAGGTCACTTTTTATCCAAGGTTCAGCATGTAAATTGGCTTCCATGACATTTCCTCATGACGAGGAAAGGTGTAGCTTTTTAAGTCTTCATTTGATCTACAAGTAAATCAAACTTTCACCAATTGCAATAAACGTTTTAACACAGAAAACATCCTGCTGGATCTTGTTTCCCCAAAAAATCAGTTACAACTAAGCTGATATCATTTATTAATAAGTGTTTCCTTTAATAGTTTATTCTTTCCTCCTTCTCTTTTCCTAACTGTACCTCAACGTATGTACTCTTACTTAACGCGTAACGTTCTCCAAATAAACGTACGTATTGTAAATAAACGCGTATGGTCTCCTAACATAATGAGCTAACTAGCAGATTATGAGAATACAACAAGTTCTTTCAAATTTTGGTCTGACGCCAAATATCCGCCCCAACACATTTCTGCTTAAGCTTTGTTGGCGTATTACTATGTGTGCCTGGAAATTAGTGCTATGCATGGTTAGGGTTAGAATTAAAGTTGGGGTCATTTTTCGGGGCTAAAGTTAGGTTCTACACATATCACGTGTATATCAACCCCTCCCACCCGTATCCCTTGTCTTGCGTATTTTGGGAACCCCCATGTAGTATCAGGGGTATTTATTTGGTATTTCACACCGACTTTTTATATATTTATTCATTGGTACATGAGTGACTGTAAGGTTTGAAGCACTCGCACCGGACTGCGCTTAACTCTTTCGTTTGGTGTGATCTATAACGAATGTGTGGCCCTAGAGCTTCTCGAACACGGTCCTATCCGAGGGGACGTCGCTATCCAAAGCAAGGTACTCAATTTCATCCGAGTCAGGTGAAGAAATAGTTGTATTCATGGAGTTAGTTGTTTTTCTACCTCCATGGTTACATGTAGCCTGGTTCCCAGGCTATCTTAGCTCCCGATCCCGAGTCTATTAATCCTCACCGCTGAGGGGATATAGACTCGGGAGCCAAAACAGGTCTGAAAAGCAGGCTAGTGTGCAGAGTACAATGTACGTTTCCCAAGGACAGGAGACTGGAGCCTGGTAGAGCTTCGAACCCCAAAACGTCAGATTCTACGTCAACTCTACCACAAGGTCCACAACTTCTTTGGGAGCACGAAAAATCGCTATTAGATTTGTTGGAAAGTCAGCGTCCCCCTAGCTTATTTCGATCACATCCAGACCCGTACCTTTTGTGGCATTAGCAGCCGGATCAAACGCCACACTACAAGCTATAGCTAGAAGGGCTGCGAAATGTTTAGAACACTGTCATAAAAAAAGAAGACGTTTCAGTCTTTACAGCTCCTTGGTACAATGTTTATTGTAATCATTAGATGCGTGTATATTGAACTACATGTATTACTGTACCTTCCCGTTTCTATCTCACTACAGGAATGTTGGCCGGCCACTTACGTTTGGCTTTCAGCCCACTTCTTCACTTTGGAATTGGTCCAACTACTCAATTGTAAAAAAGACTGACATCGGAATTTCATCACAAGCACAAAGTGTTCCTCTGTACTAGGCTGTAAGCAGTATCCCCACTCAAAACGCCTACATGTGTACGTACTAAAGAGAAAATACACCAGATGTTTCTTACGTTTTGTGCAACAGTCTGAGAGCTGTATGATTGTGTTGATAAAAGAACTCAGCTATAATATACACAGTTGGCCCCGATTTTTATCAACTTCTGATGATGATCAGGGTTGAAGTTACGTAAATAGGGCATATTGGTTCTGCTAATGCTTAGTAATATGACCAGGCGCCTGAATGTGCCTGCAATACCATGGCCACGGCATCCAATGCAATTTCAGTGCGGCAACACAAGAAATATTCTGATATCGATATTTACTACAATTTTAGTACATTTTTATCATCATTACATACATGAAGTGCTTGAAATAGCCGAAAGCAAACTACATGTACATGAGGCGTCTCTTTATGTTTTGGTTACCACCCATAAATAGCTAGAACCAGCCTATGGCTACGAACAACAGAAGCAACCGTTTTCTGTCAGCGATATCAAATTTTTGCCTCACAGATACCAGTGTGCTTTAGGATAGAATTGACTTAACTTACTACGTGTACATTAAAAAATCAATGACCAGAAAATTAAATTTGAAAACCAACCTTTGCCAGCCGGAAATTACACTGTATGCCTTTAATCTGTCACTTTACTGATACTGTGGCCGGCCATTGTAAACTTGGCATAACATGCATTCATAGAAGCCTAAAGAAAGATTTAGGTACTTCATAATGATTGCAATATTTGGTCCAAAGACACTACGGACATTAGATGTCTTTTAAATCAAACATTTCCATAACTGAACATTAATAGACAGAGGGATGCATAAAATGACAAACTTGTAGTAATAAGTCTGATGATTCGATCTCGAATATGGTACCTATGGTACATTCTAAAAATGACTGTCTAGTTGCCGTTTTTTTGCTGTCTACATGGTGCACACGACACATGTTAGCTCTCTCCCCTCCACGTAGGGCGGACACGGGAGCGAGCCACAGCGGGCCTCCACGATGTAGAACAGCGCGCCGTCCTCGTTACGCTCTCCGCCAGGCAGCACCTCGGGCTCCCCGTCCATGCACACGAACTCCGTGCGGCTGTGGGTGTGGTGGCCAGCCATCAGGTAGCCCCCGTATTCCCGCGTCCAGCCCTCAGGGCAGGTCTTCCGGGCGGGGATCATCAGCTGCGCGCGGCGGGAGAGGCTGTGGCAGACGGCACATGGCACGTTGCGGTCGTGAATTGCGCCCATGTCGTACGGCGAATCCGAGCCGATTTGGAATTCAGCACCGTACATGTAAGCCTCCCGGGTTTTCTCAAGACCATCTTTGTACCAGCCCCACTCAGGATCTGAAGGAAGGCACTGGTAGTTGCTTCCCCCGCCCTTCTGGTTGTACCACGTTCCGCCGGCCAGGCCAGAGTACACCGTCACTGTGCCCGTACCCTCTTCGCAAGATGTCCGCCCCCATCTTACATATACAGCTCCTCCGCCCAAACCTTCATCGCCTTTGCTGCCTTTTTGGCCTGGGGCTCCTACCGCACCCTTCTGTCCCTCCGGTCCTTGTGGTCCGAGCTTCCCGGGACGGCCCGTCTCTCCCTTCTCCCCGCGAATGCCCCTAGGGCCCGGCGGTCCCGCGTCCCCCTTCGGTCCCGGTGGAGCCAGCACGGTGATGTTGTTCACGTTGCTGTTTGACATTGACTTCGAGCAAGAGCTTTCGTCGCCGTCATGTTCTACTGCTAAACAGACAGTCAGGAGAAACAGGACGGACACTGCGACCACGACCGTCGTTATTTGTCCACTCATCTTGAACAAAGAGCGGCTTACAACTAGCACTGCTCTGGTTGAGAGTAATTCACAGAAGCATGTGGTTTCTTTTGGCCCACGTAACTGCTCTTATAGGTTGGATGATGTCACTCAACGAGCACATGTTTGCGGTCCTAATTTTTCGCTTGCGTATGATGTCTGAGGCCGTTGACTTGAGCAGGGCATCCGGTGCGTGGGTTTTTGGCCATGAATGTTCAGCACGTAATTAAAGGGTTCTGGTTTCAGCTTCAGACTGTCGTTTACAAGAAAAGAAAACCAGTTTGAAAAGTCCACTTAAAAGTCTAGATGCTAAAACAGAAATAGCTGTGTTTGTCGGGTTTGTCCAACGTTTTCCAAGACGGTAACCAAAACGAAGAAGACTACAGCTTGATGGCCAAGGCGAATCCATCTTTCAAAGTTTCTGTGACCTGTGTCTTAACGTGGCCGATTGAACTTTGAACATTTCCGAAACACGTCTTGGAAACACCCGCAGATCTGGGAGTATGCCAAGAGAAAACAAAGCGTACGATCTGTTTTGCGGTCTTTCCGAGAAACTAGCAGGACGTTTCTGTTATTGAATGAATGATTGAAAGGCTTAACAGCTGTTACGAGCTATAAGTACAGATCATGAGTTAAGCAGAGGTAATATCTTAGGGAATACCTTCGCCAAATAATGTTACTTTGACGAATGTTGACGTATTATAAATGTGATTGATTATGAAATCAAGATCCTCATTTGCATGGATTACATGTGTACCTACCATTCAAAATTCGTGTCTCTGGCATGTTCAGATCATGAGATATTAAAACCGGACGTTGAGCTGCAGTACGTACAATAACAAGCCGCCAGGGGCCCAAAACACACACACACACACACACACTTAAACACACACACACACACACACACACACACACACACACACACACACACACACACACACACACACACACACACACACTTAAACACACACACACGAACGCTAACGAAAATATAACCTTGGCGTGGCGCAGAAGGTGCCCTGTTATTAAATATACTGACTGGATGGACGGACTCACTTGAACAAGGGGTGAAACCCTGGTGTCATTTCAATATTTTGGCTCTGGTTCATTAAAACGCTGGAGTCGACCTTCCACTATGTGTACCAAAACAATCCTGATAGGTCCAGTTTTGTAAAGGGGGAAAGATTTGAAATATAGGTTTGAAATAAAGGTAAATGAGTCTCAGACTGCAGAGTGTCACAGTTTGATGGACAGTGAAAACATAGGGCAATGACGCTAGCCTTCTGTGTAGGCTCCGGGTTGTGCATACTCATGGAATGAAAAAATAGATTTCGTCAAGCTTATATTTACTCTTAAAATCATATTAATCATCAGAGCAGGCCTGGCATGAAATCGAACCAAAATGTAGTCGTTTGCAGTCTTGTCAATCACTATGGCACAAGAACGACCCAATTTGCATATCCAGTACTAGTAGTTTGTGCCTCCAGCACGCTCAATCCTCAGGGTGCCAGAGTACACAGTGCAATTTTACGGAATACAGTTCAATAGTATTAGTATACAGTGCAATTTCAATAGTAAAATTGCACGGTATACCAGCAAAAGTCCACTGTATACTAATACGATTGCACTGTATTCCGTAAAATTACACTGTATACTAATACGATTGTACTATATTCCGTAAAATTGCGCTGTATTTCGTAAAATTGCACTGTATACTCTGGCACCCCTGCATGTATTATGTACATGTTCTGTTTCCACAATTTCTGTCTCGGACTTAATCAACAAGACCAGCAGACTGATTTGATTTCTCTCACGGACGCCACCGGTGTGCCGAACGCGATGCCGCACATCTTTGGAGCAGGTAAAAACTGCTTTCTAGCCTCGCACTGTTACGGAGAATCTTCTCAGCGATTAATTAGTTATTAACAATTTACCAAATAGTGATTACCTAGTTTTGTCTATCTTTATTGCGGTTCGTTTTGATTGTATGTGTTTTGCATGAGTCTCAGGTCACTCTTGTGTTCCTATGTTAGTACCTTGTTTATTATGTTTCTTTTGTATAGGAGGTTAGCATAAGGCTTCACTCTGGCCCTGTATCCATTGACCAATTATATCCATGTAAAGAAGTGGAACTAACTATACAGTGTACACGTATATAAATCAATAAATAAATAACGAGGCCACTGGAGGCCGTGGTATTTAATTTCTGTTTAAGGTTAGTTCCATAAATTAAGAGAACTATTTTTTCTTGTAATACGTTATTTTATGCTTGATGATGACTTTCTGAAAAGTATTTCAGCTTCATTAATACTTGACCTAACCTTACAGGTACGTTGTAACAATGCTTATACATTGCATTATACATATTATATGATATATAGACTTTTAGCACTTAGAATGTAGCACTTAGAATTGTACTCAATGTTTTATACCCTTTAGGTATCTTTTGGTCACATATGAAATTACGTGCCCCACCCCGGCAAGAATATGCGATAAAGATTCATTCATTATTATTTTGTAATTTTCCTCCAGGTGCCACACCCGAGCAGGAAGACCAGACTGATTGGAGGCCATGTGCTGACGCCGCCGCGAAAATACCAAACCCGATGTACGTCTCCAAAACAGGTAAAACGTCTTCTAGAAACGGTTGCTTAAATCTTAGCTTTGGTTATTTATCCCATTTATGTACTTACCAAAAGAAATTGTCCTGGAAAAGCGTGCTAACTGCATTGAAATGAGCTAAAGATTGCAAACAAACCATGACGCATTTTTTACCAGATTATGAAATCATCAAGTCTATCATCTTTTTTCCTTCTAGTAAAAATATGGGATAGCATCCCCTTTATATGAGCCCTTTTTTTTACCAAAAAAATGATAAATTGAGTCTCTCTTTGGTAAAAAAATGTGCTAGCACTCCTTTAAGCCCATTTTGTTCCAAATAATAGTACTGAAATCTTTCTCTAGTAAACAAAATGGGCTAAAGGGGGTGCTAGTGCATTTTTTTACCAAACTGTAATAAATTGAATCTCTCTTTGATAAAAAATGGTCTAGCACCCTCTTTAAAAAATAACGTTTAACACCATTTTTTCCGCTTCACACGTTTTTAATCTTAAATAATTACAAGTACTAAATAAATGTACTAAATAATCAAGTCTTAAATCTTTGCCTGTGTGCTTTTTTTTCTGTTGATCAGATTAATCATGATAAATTCTTTTCAATAATGCCCCGTATATGTTCATTGATATTACATATATCATTTATTTATTCGTGCTGGGGGAGAATTTGGAGGAAATTTTAATCGCAAAATGCGAAAAGACACACGCTAAACACTGTCGTGTATCTTTGGCGGTTATTTTGCAAATTCATGCCCGACAATATATGTACAACGTACAAAAGTGACTATTCTATTCTATTATTCAAAACAATTGACTACTCTATACAATCTAAACTTTTGGAGTTTAACTTTTTTGAAGCTGTAGTATACGAAAAAAAGTGTACAAATTTCTTTACAACAGGTGGGCTTTGAGAGGTTAACAGGGTTATTGTATTCTTTTCGCCAGTAAAGGTTTGGAAATTTTGGTGGCTTTTTTAAACGGCTCTTTTCTTTCCTTGTCGTTAAAGGGGAAGTTTGAGGTGTATTTTGTCCTCCACTGCTTTTGACATGCATATAGTGCATTACAAATTCTTTCCCATCCCAGTAACTTTTTATACCACCCTTTCACAATTGAGAGGATGGACGGTCATTTTGCCGATTGCTGATCTTGCTAAAATTATATAGTAACAATAAATAATTTTTCATAGAGTATTCGTGTTTTGCTTCTTGTAAAATCTTAATTCACCGGTATCTATAGACAGTTGATGAGAAAAATGTGGAATATGTGGGCGTCCTTGCCCAATGTTTTCACTGTCCTTCAAACTGTGACACTCTGCAGTCTGAGACAATTGACACCTTTTCTCTTCATCAAAATTCATTCCATTTCAGTTTTTATACAAGGCCACAGCAGGTAGTTTTTATGGATGACATCCTTCGACATCTAATGAAATCTTTAAAAAAACAAGGTGGGCCAAAAAAGCAAGATTTATACATTTTCAAGTTTTGTCACCATAAACGTTGTAAAACAAGAAATAATACCTGCATTGTTCTAGGCTTACTACCATTTCTTTCAGCATCTATTTTTCACTGAACAACTTTGAAAAATAAAAATTTTCATTCATTGTGCAACTGACCCATTTTCTCTTTATTAAAATTCATTCCATTTCAGTTTTTATATAAGGCCACAGCAAGTAATTTGGATTTCCTCCGACATCTGTTGACCACTGTCAGATGACCACTGTATGTATGTTTCATGCAAAAGTTGCACATTGCTTTACGTTTGCGAACATTTTTAAACACGCATTTTCTTTGATCATGAACAGCAGAAACAAGCGCTTACAACATGACCAAGTGGTCCCGGTGGTGCAAGAATCTATGGCTGACCGCTGGTGGTCTGGTCTTTGCGGTCGTTGCCATTGTACTTCCCTTCGTGGCAGGTCAGTTTTTACAACCACTTACGAATGATGCAGTAGGAGGGCAGATTGTACTCTCCGAGCAGGGCTTTGGGCTTTGGCTTATTTTTGGCGTGCTTTAAGGCTTTTTTTGGGGGGGGGGAGGCTTACTCAAAAGAGAGACTGCCACAAGAAAAAATACCAGAAACTCTATTAAACTCTATAATAATTCTAAAAACACGCCAAAAATACGCCAAAGCCCGCACTTCTGCTTGATTCACGGTGGGAACAACAAATGAATTTTCAATTTCAATTCTTTATTTCATACCAACGTTACAGTCATACAAAAAATGTGTTGCCTGAATGGCATTGGTATTTACAGCAATAACAGCAAGATAAGGTACATAACATATATTACACATATATACATACTATTTAAAATATATACATTAAATCAACAGGGCATCCCAGATATGACACGTTTACACAGTCTGATTGTATAGTCTGATAGACTGATGTAGGAACGAGTTCTGGAGTCTTTTTGTTCTGGCTGGGGGGGATGGATATAGTGTTCTTGTTCCTAAGAGAGCGTCCAGTGGCGTTAGCTCTAGAGACAGGGACGAGGTCGTGTAGGGGGTGGTCCTCCTGGAGCATCTGTCTAAAGAGTTTCACAGCGGCATCCTCGCGCCTCGACTGCAGGGTGGGTAGTTCGGGAACGTCACGCCTGCCAGCTCGGCTGATGATGCGGAGGGCTCGCCGTTGGACCCGCTCCATCGCACGCTCCTGTTCCTTGCTACATCCGACAAGTAGGACATGTCTATACTCTAGTACAGGACGCACAAGTGCCAGGTATACCAAGACCAAGTCTGCAACACTGGTTCCTTGTTTAGAGAGTAGCCTCAGATAATGAAGTCTGCGAGAGGCTTTTGTGACCATAGAAGTGACTTGTTCTTGGAGGGTTAAGTTCTTGTCGAGGATGAAGCCAAGGCCTTTTGCACTGTCAACCCAGGGTACGCACGCTCCCCCTAGGGTTAGCCTTGGTGGGCTGGGAACAGATCTGCAGAGACATATCTGTAGCATTTGACTTTTCTTCCCATTTAACAGCATGTTGTTGGTGTTGGCCCACGAGTCAAGGTGAGATGTTTCTTCCTTTGAGTGTGTTGTCTTCATCTGCTTGGCGTACAAGAATAGTTCTGGACATGGAGACATCGTCCG